TTGGGTCAGGAAATCGATACTGAATCGAATCGCCATGATGGATGTGATTTACACCCCTAGTTTATATTCTGACTGAGGCAGAGAGGTAATTCTCAGAGAGAGATCTGTGAAGTTTATCCAAGTTTTTATTTTTTTCATAAAGTGGTGAGAGAGATACGCTGCGCTAACCTGCTATGTCTGCCACTCGTTATGTTTTTTTTTTTTTGTGAGGCTCAAAGACGATCATTATTTTCTCCGTTTCTGTCCTCGTGAACTCCTATCATGGATAAAATATTCGTTTATAATGTTTCATTCACTGTTTTTGAAAGAGCCTGTCTCGTTTACTATATACGCAATGCAAGACTGACTCTTTCCCGTGCGATTAACAGATTTTATTTTGCTTTTTTCACCAAAGCGGATGTGTTTTACTTTGTATCCACTTTTGTATCCAGGACCTCACTCTTTCGATCATGTTTAGGGTTGAACATAGACCTGCGGGTAAATCAAGAATTTCTCCTTTTGGCTCAGATCTCTCCCACCACAGCAGAACATCTGTCCATCTTCTGCTCCATTCTAGCCAAGTATGTCTTAGCTGGAAGGAGCCAGCAGAAAAAACAGAGATCCACTGCTCACCAAACTGGACCCCTTTAGGCCCTTGGTTACGCCTAGAAATCCTGTCCATGAAAGTTGAAAAGTCCAGAGCCAAAGGACGTTTCTCTGTCTGAGTTATTGATGAACAGATGTTCCTCATCGGATCTCACTAAAATGGTTCTAGATATTCAACAGAGAAAATCAGCCAAAGCTGAATTCTCCAGATGTGCAAAAATCTGATGGAGATTTACCCAAAAAGGTTCAAAACCATGCATCCTTTTTCTTTCACTTCATAATTATGAGAGACCTACTCTAAGTTGTTCATTTTACCTTGAACTTTATTTAATAAATCATTACTGTGGAATCTGTTGGGTGTGTGTTTGTTGTTTTTGCTCATAAAGGTAAACTCATGGAATTGGAAAACGAATGTGTTTATCTACCGTGTATTTGTAGTCCTTCTCTTTCTGTTTTCCTCTCCGTCTAAGAACAGGAAGCTCCTCGAACTGATGTCCGCCTTCAAATGGTAGAATTACGCTACCTGGGACCCAGGAGCGTTCCGACACCTCCCCCATCGTCTCCAGGAAATACAACCGACAAGGACGAGTGCTTGGTACTGAAGTACAAAAAATGGGAAAAGAAATGTATACATTAAAAACAATAGAAACATAAACAGAGCTTCGGCTCTGCACAATTAAATTAAAAAGGTTCATTAAAAAAGTTTTAGTCTGGTTGTTCTTAAAAATTACAGAGGACAATCTTTTATTTCCAGGTGGATCATCTAAATAAGTAGTCGTCTTAATTGTCAATCATTCTGGTGATATATTTATGTAAGGCCGTCCTACGTACCTGTCCCTATATTAGCTATCTTTTTCCATGCATGCGCACTGTCAGGCGTATATATCTGTGGTGAGCTACGGTTTCAGACAGTCATTGAAGCTCACCTTTCTCACCTCGGTTCTTAGAAAATGGCCGAGGGTCGTAAGAGGAAAAAGTGTCTACAAAGTGTAGGAGAAGAAAAGAAAGGCCTCAGAAGAGGCAGATATATCCCAGAATGCTTTGCGCAGGGAGCTCTCCTCGCAAAGCATTATGGGATTTGCTGTGACAGCGGATGGTGCAGGCACCGTTCAGTGGAGAAGGAGTTATGTGACCTAAGGGGGGGAAAAAAGTGATCATCTGTCCGAACGGTCAGTTAACAGAGCTTGCTTTAAAGTCCACTATATAGTCCCCGCTGTATGTGGAGAACGGCACAGTTTAAACAGGAGATGCACGAGGAGAAATGGGCTTGTGCACGCTCTTGCATGCGCATTTATTAGTAGAGGGGAAAGGTCTTTTAAAAAAAATACTCCACAATATCTTAAAGTAACTCATCTAATTTTTTTTTATTGCCTTATTGATGCATTACCAACATAGTGCTATAATTGGAGAATACCTTTATTTATACTATCTTTATACCTCTAAAAGAAAATTCAATATAAACCAATAGAAGTTTGTTTTTACTGCAGAAATGTTATGATCATGTGTTGGAAATATAATCACAGGAAGGACTGCTGGCTTCAGCTATTAACACCCTAAACAAGGAAGGTGAGACACTAAAGAAGCAGTGCAATGATACAGCCCCAGAGGGCTGCATCAAAACATTTTACTGAAAGTTAAGTGGAAGAGAAAAAAGTTGAAGAGCTTGGTGTCGACTCATCAGGTGTTGCCAGTTGATACTAAAATACAAAAATTTAATTTTTGACAGTCCAGAACAACCTTTACTACATTGCTGTGTAATAATTAATGTATTACATTTTACCTTAACTACACACGTGTCCACAGACAAACACTGGCCAGAGTAGAAATCAATGCTTCTCACCTTTCATCTTGGTGTGGATCCCTTGGTCTGGGTCACAGAGGACCTGGCAGGGCCACCAAGGCCGCCTGTTGAATTTGGCCCACACCAGATCTCCATCCAGGTACTTCACAGCAGGGAGAAGTTTCTTCTTTGGGCTGTTGGACTAAGAAGCACAAGGAGGATACTTTAATGTGAGACTAAAATTACAGTTTATCTTTAATTCACATTAAAACAGCGTTATAAAGTTGGTATAAAGCATTTCTAAAACAATGCTTAAAGTATAAATATCAGAATTTACCTGTACAGATTTGATAAAGTTACTGAAGGATGCAGTAATCAGATTATTTAGAGCCAATACAGAGCTCCGGTTTCTTTCAAATATTTAAAGCAGATACTTGTTTAGCAATATTAATGTAAGAGAAATGTGTTTTAAGATGTTAAAGTCAAACTAATAAAAAAAAAACTGTATGGATCCTAAAGGAAAATAAAATTTAGTAAGTTATAGGGTTTGTTTTTATTTTTTTGACAGTTTTATATGTTAATAATTGTAGAAAGGAAGGACCTATGGACAGTGGCGCTAGTTGTTTTAGCATTGAAGCAGAGGTAGTTTATATTTATTTAGTTTCATTTCATCAAAGAAATGAGAAAACAAGTTTTATGTTTTTCTGTAAATATCCCCTAATCTGAATGCGTCTTATTCCGGATCGGTGCATCTCATGTGCTGCACAGTCCTTCTCTTCATGCTTTGGTTTTCTCTGCTGCAAAATGTTGCAAATGTTCCTTTGGCAACAAAAGTGCAGCCAAACAAACACCTCCCCCCCCCCAACTCACATTAGAGTTGGTGCCAGCTGGCGAGACAAGTCCAGGCTCAACAGGAGAGGTGAGTTCAACGTCGCTGTCTGACTCCTGGCCCACTTTCCACCCGTCTATCATAGTGATTTCTGGCAGTGCGCTGGGGCTTAGTGTGGGGTTCAGTTCAGAAATAGTTTTGGACATCAGGTTGAAGACTGTGGGTTTGTAAGTTCTTCTCTCCAACCCTGAGTTACTTTTATTCCCAGTGACATTTCGCTCCTGGGTCGTGCTTGAGGAGTGCTGTAAAGTTTTGAGCGCCTGAACCCCGCCGTGCCCCTCATCCTCCTCCTTGATATCCCCGCTGTCAAACAGCACGGATCCAAAATGGAGGAACCCATTGGGAATGGGCGAGCAGCGCTCAAAGCTGTCCGCGCTGCGAGGGGAGAACCCGTTTCTGCTCCCGTCCTGTAGAGTTTCAAAAGAGTCCATGTTGTCTGCGCCGGAGGACGAAGGTAGCTGGATCTGCAGTGGGTCGAATCCATCTTCTTCATCAGTGATTGGACTTGTAGAGCGGAAGCTGCCCCTGGGATGAAGGTCCGAGTCTTTGCTGGTCATCCGCTGCGGTCTCCTCTGAGGGCTGTAACCTATTTGCAGAGTCTCAAAGGGCTCAGCTTCATCAGTGCCAGGAGACGAGGACAGCTGGACAGGTGGAGACTTGAACTCGTCGTCCTCATCTTCGTCGTTGGTGACTGGACTTGCACAGCGCAGGCTGCTCCTGTCCTGTGGTCTCCATTGAGGGCTGTAGCAGTTAAAGGGCTCCAGCTGACTGTATCCCAGGAAAGCCGGCTGAGGCAGCTGGCCTGGTCCACGGGTCACGGTGCCACACTGGTTCCTATAAGAAGTGCCCAGAGGGCCATTTCGGGCCCTCCTCTCTGGCTGGCTGGGGCCAAACACTGATCCAACCCTAGGACCCGGTCTGTATGACTGATTCATGCTGTCATCCTTATATCCTGTTAAACAAACAAAGATAAAACACAGTTAGAAAAGAGAGTAATGGCGCTCAGTTTCACCATGAATCCATTAAGAGGCGAACTCACAAACCTTAGACTATCCTCTCTCACACACACACACACACACACACACACACACAGCATGGCCTCCATTGTAAAAAGGCCAACTCTGGACAAAAACCCTGAACACATCCACACCTTTCTATTTACAAATAATTGAAAAAATGCGCCTCTGTCGATTGTGGGTCATGGCGATCGCTCAGGCTGTGGTGAAGGTGGTGACACTAAAGCCATCACAGAAAAATAACAAAAAGATCGGATCACACAAACAAGCTACAGCCGCTCATAGGAAGCTGCTATTAACACACACACTGTCAACACGTGGGGAAAAAGGGCGAAATACCCACCATTTGGAGGTCGGTCACCGTGAAACCAACAGCGGATCTTTGTTGGAGTGACACAAAGCGACGGCTTTCTGCACAATCCCGGCTGCAGCAGCTCTGCTTGTGGTAGCAGGCCTCGGCTCGGCTCTCATTCTCGGCACTTCATCGCCTCATCATCATCAGCAGCAGCAGCGACGGCGGGGCCCTCCTCTTTAAAAAAAAAAATGTCAGCTTTACAGTCAAACAGAAGACTAAAGCTGCTGTTACACCATGAGTGCCGGTTTCCCCTCCTTTCTGCTGAAGCAGATTATTTATTACATGTTTTATCTGCGTCCCAGTCGAAGTGCCCCCGGTTATGTTAAAACAAGCCCAGGCTGCCTGTGTTGGTGAGCAGCGACCAATCGGCACTGCTACCCAACCCCCCGTATGCTGCTCCGCAGAGGGCCGTGACACTCACTCACACAAACACGGGCCGAATCACTAACACGCACGTTAAGGACACCCAGGTGAAGTTAGGGAAACTGTAAAACAGTGGTAATAAACGTAGGACGGAAGCAGTAGAAGAATGAGCCGCGTTGGTGTCTAAAAGTGGACTCCGTGTGTTGCTTTGTGACCGAGCGGAGCGGGTTTTTAAAGCCACTTTAACGGCCTCCCCGGTCAGCCCTCTGTCTCTCTCTCTCTGTGCGCCATGTTGTCTTCTGCGCGGAGAAAGCTGGCAGGAGGAAGCAGGCCGCCAGCCAGGCGCAAGAGAAAAAAAGAAAGAGATAAAAGCGAACAGCTACGCCGTGAAAACTTAAAAAAAAAACATTACTATAAAGATATCACATAAACATACCCCGTTACATAATTATCCACGAATTCAAATGCGCTAATATATGTAAAAGAAGCGCACAGTAGGCTGGAGTCCTCTGTGAGTCACACTGATTACAGCTTTCAACTTATCGACGCTTTCCTCTTTCATTTTCAAACCATTACTTTAATAAAACTCTGAAATCTTTCTAGAAATACCCGATAGGTTACATAGATATCAGTAAACAGTAGCTATACGATTAAAAGTAGAACATGACCCAGTTTTTTTATCAGCCGTCTCCTTTTTTACATATCTCTGTAAACACATCAAAAATACTGTAAACTTAATCGTAGTAGTGATTTTACACAATGTATTATGGATTTAAAGATTTCTTACAAAGTACTTACTATTGTCTGTCAGACCAAACCCCCCCTAGTGGTTAAGTGGAGCACTGCAAAGCCAAAAGCCTATAACAGAATCTGAAAGTGTTTAATACAAGTTTATTTTTGTCACTCTTCCAGTTAAGAACAGAAAATCAAAATAAATTATGTAACATTATTGTATATATAGTAGTAGTAGCACGAAACAGTAAACAAGAAGTACATGTTTATTAATAATATGTAACAACCTTTTTTTTTTTAATGTAAAAAGATAATTACAGTACTACCGTCATGGAAAACTGTAGATCTGATGCTTTTTTCTTTCTAGTTTTATGCTGAACATTATCTGGAAACAAAGCTTAAGCAAAATCTCTTTTTTCATCAAGATGTTTCTTGATAAACTAGTATTTTAAACTTAAATAGTTTTTTTTGTGTTGGAACTGTCCCATGAACACTGACCTTAACTGAGCTCTAAATGTTCCACAGTTCCCCCTTAACTTCCCGCCTAACTTTTACTTTACTGGGGAATTTAGTGAACATTATTAACATTTATGACAGATTTATATTGTAAAAACACTGTACAGTGTTTTATTTATTTTCTTAACTGTCACTAATTCTGTTATTTTTATACACTTTTTTAAGGTCCACATTTATGTGACCACTTTTGCTATAATCTTTTGCTGCTGTAACACTGCAATCTCTCCATTGTGGGACAATAAAGGAAATGTTCTATTCTATTCTAAGAACATGCAAAATCTATTCAAAAAGAGATCCCAGGCTGGGAATGAAACCCAACAACTGATGTGCTCCAAACTTAATAATTAGATGAATAATTTATAAATAGTTTTAAAATTCATTATTTGTATTTGTCTAATTTTGAAAAAAACATCTGTTTGTTTGCCTAAACACTGAGTGCTGGAGATTAATTACTAAGCAGGGGGGAGAAATGTCTGTTTTTGGTCCCTCATTATGGACTCTTCAACTTTGGCCTCAGTTCTTTATAAACTATATGATGACACATAATCAAACTTTGAACTTTTTAAATTGTAAAGCTTAAAGAAATAAACTGATACTTAGTGAATAAAGTGGTAATAAATGTGACCACTATGGCGATGCAAATTAGCAAACTGATCTGGAGTCAAATAGTTGAAAAGGTTTTTTATTATGGTTTCACATACAGCACATTGAGATTTAACATATGCATATTTGAGATTTTCAGTTAAGAATAAGTATGACAACACAAAAAATGGAAGTGCTTATGATACGTTCAACGACATGTAGGAAATACATTTATATTTACAAAGTGCGGAAAGAATAAATACTGTGCTCATAAAGTAGGAAGTTTAGAAGTTGGAGCTAAACAGAAACTTAAAAACAAACTGTTTAATGAGATGTACCAATCAGTTTGTCACATAACGCGTTTTTTTTCCTTCTTTCTGTATCAGCAAGGAAAGGCCAGAAAGTGCTTTTCTATATATTTATATATTTTTTTTTCACTTTAGTTCTGGTGCTTGTTTTTTTTTCTTTTTTCACAAAGTAAAACACATACTGTACAACTAGATGGGTCAAACTTTCTGTCTAGGGAGGGAAATGTATAAAAATCAATGCTTCAGAAAGTAAAATTTAAACAAAGACAAAATCCAAAGGAAGGAAATGCTCTGGAGCCAGGGCTCGCTCAAGCATTTATCAGGCCTGAAGCAGAATTGGATTTTCAGGGGCCCACCTTCAGTTCTTCTCACCTTTATAACGTCCATCCTTGCTTGCAATTAGACTGTCGTTTTTTCATTACTTTGACATTATTAAATGCATAAATTACACTACATACAAAGTGCTGTTATTGAACAAGCAGTTCTTAATGGCCAAACTATCATTTATGAATTAAAGTTGAGCCCCTAAAAGGTTTTATTTTAAAGTTCAGTTATACCTTAGGTACACCTGACTGGTGAAAAAACAAAAATCAGACAAAAAGGCTACATTTGTTTGTTGTTTTTTTTGTTTTGTTTTTTTTTCTAATTTTGGTTTGTTTGCATACATGCATGCATGTGTAAAATACACTTTAATTGCCTTATTAGCAGTGTGTGAAAAGAGTTTTTTTCTTTATAAAAAACAAAACCCAAGTTTTTTGACGCATGCTCATGCAACCAAATGAGGGAGATGTGTTTAATCAGTGGGTTCATCCACTTTGCTGCTGGCATCACAGAGGTCTCTAGGTTCCATGATGGCGTATGGAAACGTTGCAACTTCGCTGCCAGGGAAGTCCAGTTTCTTAGGAATGCTGCAGTTGCTCAAGTCAAGAGTTTTAGCAGCATCACAACAACCAAATTCCAGCTTCTTGAGGCGAGAGAGACTCTTAATGCTACCTGGGGGTCTTCCTGGGCTGACTTTATACCCTGCCGCCTTGGTTGTTCCAAGGGGTCTCCCTGGACTGGTTTTGAACCCGGCCGCCCTAGTCGTGCCCAGCGGGCGTCCGGTGCTTGTGCGGTACCCAGCCAACTTTGTGGTCCCAGCCGGCCTCCCTCTCCGCCCTGACTTAGCAGAGCCTTTCTTTTTCTTGGAGCCATCTGGGACCAGGGCCTCAGCAGCCCCGATCCTCACTGCCTGTGGCTGGAAATCCCCCTGGCTCTCCTGCAACTGGCATGTCATGGCTTTGTGTATTCCCTGTGGCAAAGGGGCAAGGCTGGCAAGGGACAGCTGCAAACCAGGGTTTGTGGGAGAGGCATAGAACTTGTTGGAGTGAGTGCTGCATAAATCAAAGTGGGTAGCTGGATGACAGTCCTCTGCCAGCCCACTGATACAGAAGTCACTGCTGCTGTTGCTCAATCGGTGCATCATTTCTTTTCTTTCTGTCTGGGTGCAGATTGGTAGAAACATTAGGAACATGTGAAGAGTGACAAATGCAAAATAAGCTGCTTACTTTGATGAAGCAAATAGGCTTTTTTTTTTTTTAAACAAAGTGCAACACAAACATAAATGAAAACAATAAACCATAAGCTATGTAAAAGGAAACAGTTCGTACCTCATTTATTTTGGGGTGTTGTGCTGGAAGGGGGCGATTGTGTCTCGTAAAGGTTTGTCCCCCTCGGGAAGCAGCATCATCCCTGCACAGCCTGCTACGATGGTCCGGTCCGGGAACAACAGCTAGTCTCAGGCCTGCTTAATCCTGACCGAGGAAGAGCAGACCGGCAGCCATTTTTGACCCGAAACAAAAAAAAAAATTAATAAAACAGCATTGTCCGAGCGCGCATGCGCAGAGGCGGGGTTTAGAACACGTAAGGATGGGGAGTGGCGCGAGGAGGATCCGATAAAACAAAAGACCCTCTGATTGAAGCTCTGATTTTTACACAGGAGTACTAGAGCTAGGCTAGAGATTTTTCTTTTCATTTTTTTATTATTTCGAGAATAAAGTCGTAATATTAGGATAATGTTTTTTTATTATTACTATGATGTCGTGGGGGTCGTCTGCTGCCCTACTGTTCTGGGGGGGCATAGTGGGGCACCAAAAACATTTTTTTTATGGCAGTTGTTTAATTTAAAAAAGCATGGGCACAGATAATTACGGAAGAAGAATAGGGACACCTAAAACATTTAAAAAGTTAAAAAAAAAATTACATTTTGAGTGTAATATGAGAAAAAGGTCAGAATTCTGACTTTTTTCTCAAAATTCTCACTTTAATCTCAGAATTCTTTTTTTCTCAAAATCCTGACTTTGATTCAGACTTTTCTCAGAATTCTGACTTAAATCTAAGAATTCTGACTTTTCTTTCTCAGAATTCTTTTTTCTCAAATTCTGATTTTAATCTCAGAATTCTGACTTTATTCCCAGAGTCCTGAATTTAATCTCAAATTCTAAATGAATTCTGACAGCTAACAAACATATAAGTATCAAGCCATAGCCATGTTTTAGACACTAAACTAGCTCTATTGTTTTAATCACATTCTGCTCTTCCAATAATGAAATAGTACCACCAGTGATGCCTCTGGCACGTAAAAAGTCACCTAATTCCGTCATTTTCCACCAATGTGTTACTGGCCCTCCCAAACAACTCACATCTTTGTAAGTGAAGCGAGTGCTCCCACATCTCCTTCCTTCACGATGCCCATATACATTATGATCCAAAATTCTGAGATTAAAGTCAGAATTCTGGCTTTTTCCCATATTAAACAGACATATTTATATATCAGTTAACTTTTTCTGTTTTTCCAGTGGCCCTAATCCTCTTTCGTAGATAATGCCAGCATGCGAGCAAATATTTTATAAATCAATTGTACAATGAGATTGTTATTTTCTGCATCGTTAAATATCTACCTGAACCAAACTGAATTGAATTGGCCCACCTGTGAATTTAACTCCATATCTCTAATCCACTACTGATGAAGGCACAGTTTATCTCATTAAATATCTGTCAGCAAACATGAACTTGAAAACTTAAAACTTGAAATGTGCAACTGTAAAAGGAAAAACAAAAGAAGAACCTCTATATACATACATGTCTGTGTTTATAATTTCTATTCTCTCTTCTTGTCAACATTCTTCATTTTAGGGAAGACAGTGCTTCTTGGAAGAGTGATCATAAAATACAACTTGTTTCTTGTAATTTTACGACTATTCTTGTTGCAACTTTATTCTCGAAATAGAAGCAAAAAAATCACTAGCCAGGCCTTAATAATCCACCGTAGATATTCGGCCCAGATTAAAAATTTTATATTTTAAGTAAAAACTGTTGTTGCGCCGATGCCATTTTTTTTGGCCCCGATACAGATACCCGATACCTGGCTGTGCAGTATCGGCCGATACCGATACCATAATAATGTAAAATAATTGCCATCATGGCTTTGTCAAGCTGCTGCCTACCTTTGTGAAGCACAAAAAAATCTAATACAAAGTGAATCCAGTAAAACTTTTTATTGCCTACCTGGAATGGGTGACAAAACCCATCTGCTGTCTAACGCATGTTAAGTATAAATTCAAAAATCTACAGCTGGGTTCTTCAACTCTTCTCTGCTTCATCAGTACAACTTTAATGCAATAAACTGGTTTATCTGTTCATTATTCCCCAGAATAACTACATTTACTGACTTATTAATGTATACTGTCAGCTTTCATCATATTTATAAATCCATATCTGTCAATAAAATAATTTCAAAATCTTTGTACTGACTTATTAATGTATACTGTCAGCTTTCATCATATTTATAAATCCATATCTGTCAATAAAATAATTTTTTCAAAATCTTTGCTCTAGACTTTTTACTTAGGCACATTTGTCATTTTGTATAAACTGTGTATACAAAATGAATTTTCATTTTGTGCAGCTCTCATGTGATGTCAGTTTGATGCAGTGTGTGACATGATTTAAAAGTTTTTCCAACTGTTCAGCAGTGTGGCGGCGATGGGAAAGAAGCTGTTCCAGAACCTGCTGGACCCGCATCAAATGCTGAGAAGCCTTTTCCCAGAGGGCGGCAGGGAGTTGTCCATTGGGACACGCGGCGCTGGGATGAAATGTGTCGGTTCCAAAAGTTAAGAGAAATACTTAAAATCGAGTGAGCTGGTCTCTTTAGACTGCTTTAAAATTATCTTAAAGGAATGCAGATATTTGTATGCAACTTTTGAGTTTAGTTTGAAATTGTCTTGGTGATTGTTAAAATATGTTTTATATAATTACATTTTTTGAATAGTAAATATTTGTGCTAATAGCCAAAACTGACAAATAACCACTAACCGTCTTGGTCAGGGCATGTTTGTGAGACATTTTTTATCTCAATGAGACTTTTCCTGGTTAAATAGAAATTATGAACATCACTGTACTTTATTCTTTTATTAACAATAGGGTGCAAATGCCCAGTTATTTTCATATCATCCAAATATTTTTCTTTTCATTCACATCAGTGGAAATCTTGCCTTCTTTTTCCTTCATACTCCATAAAAATCCATAAATTGAATGTTAAATTTAAAATCATATAGAGCAGATCTCTGTCTATTGGTCACTTCCCTGATTTCTAAAGGCTGTTAACCGTTGGGACCATTTCACGTCCTGACATAAGTCTGAGAAGCATAAATACGTTTGTTAAGTGTCTGACATTCTGAAAGAAGAAAAAAGGTAATTCTGTTTTTTGTAGTTTTTATTAACATCTATATGAAGTTAAGCACAGACACTGGATTTAAGGAGCAACCGCAGTGCTAGGACAAGTAGCAATATTTATGTTTGCAAAATTAAGTCCACGGGACTTAAGTCTCCCTGATGAGCTGGGTCAGCTTCTGGATCTTTGTTTTAGTGGACATGTCCACATATTTGTCACCAATGCTGACAATCATGCCTCCCAGGATCGAAGGATCTGACTGTAAAGAGAAAACAAGTAGAAAATTACATTAAGGTAAAAGAAAAAAATGTGTTCATGCAGTTTGAAAGCAACACGCTTTACCTTTGTTTCCAGCTTGATAGTTTCGCCCTTCAGAAGAAAGCCTTTTAGGGCTACTTTCAGTTCAGCAAGACTAGCTTCATCCAAAGGCTGCAGACACAACAAAACATAATGGTACCATTAATGAAAACCACAAACACAATCACAACAGTGCAGTGATCCACAGATTAAATTGGACTCATACCTGAGCAGTGGTGACAGAGCAGATCACCTCTCCACGGTGTGCACTCATCATTTTGCCAAAAGCAGTGATAACGTCAGCAGTCAGATTAAGGCGACCATTATCTGCCAGAACATCTGAAGAAAAAACAAACAAAACACCATGAACATGAGCAGATATTTCACAGACTACAAACATTCTTGCTTCTTTCAATCTCCAACAACTTCTATTTCAATTGTTCTTCAATTCAAGGCCACAAACAGTTTTCTTAACCTTTTCTATGTGCCTTTGCTCCAACACACTCGAGTCAAATAATCATGTCACTGACAGAACCTGGCTCCTTCCGGAAAGTAAAATCAGAAAGGAGACTTCAGCGTCACCCAGTTCCTGCTGACGGCCCCAAATTGATTAATCTGTTGATTATTTTTTGAATTAAATGATTAATTATCGGATAGCCAAAGTTTATTTAAATATGTTTTTTTTTTTCTAAATTAAACCAGGTGAAAATAAAACATTTCCACTTGAGGAGTTCTGGATTGAGAATATTGACAGATGAAAAAAAAATGTTTTGTCTCAAATGCAATTTTGTTAAAGAAATTTTGATACAATTACTGCTCTAAGTGGGTCACTTTGTTAGTTAAAGGCATATTTTACAGTCTCTTTACTCCAATTAACGATCAATCGATTACTAAATTAGTTCATAATTATTTCAAAAATCGATTAATCCAATTACTCGTTTCAGCCCAAGGCCCCACTCGCCACTAGACGCTACAGTTTGCCAAAATCCTTTTTGTCGTCTCTGTGACGGATGCTAACCTCTTTGATCTGAGCAATCTTACTGGTTTGGAGACACCATTTTTTTTTTTTGGGGGATATTAGCGTTTAGTCTTTCAGTAAAATCCTGACGTAACAAATCTGACTCCTTTGACTATTCATAGTTATAACAATTCATTGAAAAATGTATTTTTAAAACTATTTCCTCTAAATGGTTAAGAGCCACAACATGGAGGTGGAGAAAAAAAGGATCACTCACTGATGAGGTTGATGGTGAGCGGAGAAACCTTGGACTTTCCAAGAGCATCATGGAAAGCCTTCTGCTTGATGCTTCGCTTGACATGAGGGTTCAACACAATACCAGATATCTTAGGGTCCTTGATCAGAGCCTAAGGAAACAAAGTGACCACAAAAATAAAATATGAGAAAAGGATTATGATCTGGATCATCACCAAAATATAATGGATTGTTTCTTGGCATGAGGCGCACCTTTGGGAAAATTTCATTCAAGTCTGTTCACAACTTTTCAAGTTATCGTGCAAACAGGCAGACAAACAAAGACAAAAACCCTCCTAAAAACAACCGCTTTGACTAAGGTAAAAATGCACTTTGATTTAAATTTTTTTGTTTGTTGACAATATACAGACCATATAATGTAATTCCATAGACTACTGAAAAAACTGCTAACCTAGAGGGAGGTTATTTAGGACAAACTCAATACAATTGGTATGTTACTTTAACATAGTATAAGATTCTCTTCCCTCAGACATGTTTTTCTTGTTTAATTTGGAAGTTTTAAATCTTAGAAATGATTTGGTCAAAACAAATTAAGTTCCTAAGTTTAACATAACCAACAGTGTAGGTACACCGAATAGAAAACACTAAAACAGCTAAATAAAGCACAGAACGAGTGTCACTATCCCAAAAACATTTGGTTTTACAATGTTTTTTAAATAAGCAACAAACACCAAAAGGACTTAGCTTAGTTGGCATCATTTTACAATGTCCTATTTGTTGGGAAACTGTGGATTTCCATTTGCTTTTATTCATGGGAAAAGTAAAGGCGAGTTCTCCCTGAATGCGAAACCTGCAAAACTTTTGCCAGTTACGCCTGCATTTGCGGCGCCTTGATATTCGCCGGACCATAGAAAGCCTGCTAAGGCTGACTGGGAGTAGGACAGTGGTATATTAGAGAAGCCAGCCTGGCAGAGCTAGGAGAGGCTATGGCTGGCTGGTGCTAGCCTCTAGAGGCTAACTGGGGGAGATGAAAGGAGTATCGGGGAGGATCAGCAAAGCTTGCCCGGGTAGACACCAGTGAAGGTGGGGACGGAATATATCGTCTGCGATGGAGATAACACAACGAAAAAGTCCTTCAAGGTCTAAATTATAACAGCTTTTTAAAAAGCCACATTATATCCTCTTCAGAGCATTCCTACTTAATCCTTTGTTTACATTAGTTTCTCTCCCTTATTTAATTAGAAAAAAAAAAGAAGCTGGTCTCCACTGTGCTCCTTCACTGTAGCTCACAGCCACATCTAGTCTCTGACTGGATTTCATGACGCGAATGTTAACAGAAGTTCAGATGTTTCCACTTCATTCACGGGTGAGATGGCGATCAAATGGTGCAAGCTTCGTCAAAATTGCACAGTTCGCTTGCTGCTCCATACGTAACATGGAGCGAATCTTTCGCTTGAAATTTGCATTTGGTGTGAACGTTCCTTATATTTTACAGGGAAAAGCCACAGCGTTTACCCTTTGTTTCTGTGTGCATTAAGGCGACAGAAACGGTACAACTGTGATGGAACCAATATTAGAAAAGTAATTTCCCTCTGGGATTATTAAAGGAGAAGTTCGGTTTTT